TTAAAAAATATATATATATATATATATATATATATATATAAACTTTAACAGATGCATGACTGTGTCTCTAAATGAGGTGGCAAATGCAGTTTATATAATTTCATTGCATTGGAATGATTCGCTTAAAAAAGCATTAGAAGAATTTGTGCCAGACCCAGGAGCTTTCAAAACATGTATATAGGTCACATTAAAAGAGATTCAATTGTGCTGAAGTATTAACTGAAGTGAAACGAACATGAGAGAGTGAGACTATGAGTGTGTATTAGAGAGACAGACAGAGAGGGGGATTATAAATCAAATATGAAAATGGGAAAGCGGTGTAAGTCACGGTGAGAGCTCTCCCATAATTCAGAATTCAGTACCTCATTTTTTATTCATCGTGGTTATTCTTCAAATTTCTGTAAAGTGCAGCTTAGCTTAGAGACCTTTTAGAATAGCCTGGCACTAGGGGTGTGCGATATTGACAAAAAATAATATCTCAATATTTTCTGGGATTTTAGTGATGACGATAATTAGACGATATTTTACTGAGTGTGTTATTGTGCTGGTACCTTAAGGACTGCCGAAGACAGCTGACTCATAATGTTTTTAATATTCTTCATATTCTGTGTGGTGGTCAGTTCATACTGATAGAAATTAATCTTTTCCAACAAGTTTAAACTGATTTTTACATTTTATGGGCATTTTTACCTTTATAAAGCCATTTTTTCTAGAAGTGTCCATTATCTTTTGAGTCAAATTCTGTATGCGTGCGCTCTGTAGGGATGTTTTGAATGTTTTTTGCAAGATACTCGATAATGTCAAATCGCACATCGTTAAAACAACAATTACGATATTATCGCAGACGATATATATTGCACACTCCTACCTGGCACTTGTTTCACCTCTCAGTCAGATTCAAGCCTTTCTATTGGGAGAAACCACAACCCTGTTTTGAAACCAAGGGCATCCGTGTGGCATCTGGATTTATCCAAACTCTTGGCCTTCACACTGAATCTCCCATTCAAATGTGGGATTTCGGTATTCTGTTTGTTTTCATTAGTGGTCACTATTAGTTTTGATCATACTTAATAGTTCATCCAAAAATGAAAAGTCTCATCATTTATTCACCCTCATACATGGTTCCAAACCTGTATGACTTCCCTTCATCATGAAAAATGTCGAAATCCAAAAACACCAGTCCCCAGTGACTTTCATTATATAGACAAAACAGCACTGATACATTTTTTTTCAAACTATATTACAAAGTCATAACAAATGATGACAGAGATCTTAACAAACCACTAGCTCTGAACAGTTTTTTTAGTATTATTTAAATACTATTATAGTATTTATTAACATTCTAAATTTGCTTTTATATTTATTGTTTTTAAAAATATTTATTAGCTACAATTAATTTTTTATTTCAGTGTTAGTTTTTTAGCAATATTAGTATTTCAACTTAAACTTATTTGATTTGAGTTGCCAAAAGCAGCATTTCTAATAGTTGTATTTCATTTTATTTCAGGTAATAAAAAACACTATCAAACTACAGCATGTCCTGAACTGTTTATACTGCAGACATAAATGATGTCTGTGGGCAAAAAAATCATAGACATGCACAATATGTGCATTTGTATGAAAACATACAATGTTTTAATTGTTCAACTGGAAAAAATAAAAATGTTCAGAGGCTGAAAATTGAAGATGATGAAGCATATCAGGTGTGACTGTCTGTTTCTCAAAGGCTCAAATGTTCTGCAAGGCATGAGACATCAGATTCCCATGAGAGAAAATGCTTCTTACTAAATGCAAATATAGAGAAAATACGGGGTATTACCAGTAACCAGATGCAAGTGTAAGTCTGAACACAAATATAAATCAAAATACCTTTCTCTTTTGGAATTAATCAAGAGTCTGCATCCAACATCAACCCAAAATGGCAAGTCTGCCGATAACTGCCATTTCTTGGGGAAGTCGTGGCCTAATGGTTAGAGAGTCGGACTCATAACCCAAAGGTTACGGGTTCAAGTCTCGTACTGGCAGGGATTGTAGGTGGGGGGAGTGAATGTACAGCGCTCTCTCCCACCTTCAATACCACGACTGAGGTGCCCTTGAGCAAGGCACCGAACCCCCAACTGCTCCCCGGGCGCCGCAGCAAAAAAAAATGTCTGCCCACTGCTCCGGGTGTGTGTTCACGGTGTGTGTGTGTTCACTGCTGTGTGTGTGCACTTTGGATGGGATAAATGCAGAGCACTAATTCCGAGTATGGGTCACTATACTTGGCCACATGTCACGTCACTCACTCACTTTCTGTTGGGTTTAGCATTGAGGTACAGAGTGGTATCAAGCTTTATAACTTTCAAAAATGCTCACATGTTCTTTGCAGCGGTCAATAGTGTCATCCAGCTCTCGTTTGGCCGCATTGTTCTCCTTGAAATGGACTTGTCGCAGGTGTTCGATGGCAGTAGCGTGGAGATGATTGAGCTCAGACCGCAGGGAAGCTACACAACATAAAAGAAACCCAGTACAAACCAAAATCAACTTATTTCAACTTCAACATATTTTCTTGTATTATGAGCTTACTAAGAGCCTAATTGTGGTATAATCGCTCTAGGGTGGTGACCAGAAGGTTGTAGGTTCAAACCCCTGCAGTGAGTGATCCATGAGCTATTATCATTGTACCCTTGAGTGAAAAGATTTGTTCTGTAATAAGTGCACTGTAAGTCGCTTTAGGATAAAATCAGCTGTGAAAATGACTATTTACTTTCATGATAACAGTGTATTGTAGTGAAAACACTACAAGACTTTAATGATCCAATAAAAGGCTCTAATCTTGTAGGCTGGAGTGTGGTGCTGTAGTTAATGTGAGCTTATGACTCGTCTCACCCAGCATTGCTTTGCCCTCATCCTCCAGCTCAAAGCGCAGCGTCTGCAGCTCCTGGTCCGACTGCTGCTGAAGGATTTCCAGGGTCTGTCTGTGGGCTTCACTCAAAGCGTGTAACTCCTCTCTCTGTTCCTGTTTTAGACGCTCCTCAAGCTCCTACACAAATGCACAAGTACAGACGCAGAGGAATATAAAGGCATTAAAATACAGAAGCACACATCTAATGCATAAAACTAAAGAACACACTTGCATTTGAATGCAACATGATGCGATGGGAACAAAAGGTGTCAATGAGAAAACTAGATTTGTATTTAATGAAGAAAAAAAAAACAATGTTAAAATTTTAGGTAAGCTTAGGTTTTTGATATAAATGATGCACTGCTTTGTCACTGTTATTATTATTATTATTACAATTCAAAATAGCTGTTTTCAATTTTAATATATTGTAAAATGTAATTTATTCCTGTGATGCAACGCTGAATTTTCAGCATCATTACTCTAGTCTTCAGTGTCACATGATCCTTCAGAAATCATTCTAATATGCTGATTAGGTGGTCAAGAAACATTTCTAATTAATAACAGTTGAAAACGTTTGTGCTGCTAAACATTTTTGTGGAAACTGCGATACATTTGTTTTCAGGATTTTGTGATGAATAGAAAGTTAAACAGCATTTATTTGAAACAGAAATCTTTTGTAACATTATAAATGTGAAAAACTGATCAATTTAATGCATTCTTGCTGAATAATAAACGTATTAATTTCTTTAAAAATCTTATAACCCCAAACTTTTGCACTGTAGTGTAAATATATTAAATATATGTAACAAAGAAAAGTCCAATCACAGTTCAGTATGCAAATGAAAGTTAAAATAAAACCCAATCACAATTTAGAATGTTACAATGACATCATCACTGCTGTTACATTAATGCAAGGCTGAACAGTAATGCAAGGCAAATAGAATTTTCTTTTACATTTTCAAAAAGTATTAAGACCAAGATACAAAAACAAAGTGTGGATCATAATTTGGAAATTCTGAGATTAATCATGCTTGTTTTATACTTTTTAGAGCCATAGCTTTAACTGTAAAATATAAAAACAAATGACAACATGAATGCCAATTATTTAATATTTAAACATGTTCTCCTTAAATAGCATACTTACAATTTTTTTCCACACAGCATAAATAGGCCTTTAAATATAATAGTCTATACAGTAAAGCTGACATGGTATTTTAGGAAGGAGATCATCATATTAGTATATTAAAAAGTCTGAAAACCTCTGCGATTTGGACTGAATAATTTAGAAATTTGGGAAGAAGAAGAAGAACTAAGAGGATTTTCAATACAGTGGTTTAGTTACCATCTATTATCATCTAATTAGAGAATCATCCAGTTTTGCTGTTGACACTTCGCCATTTTGTGGATAGTTTCGCTTTATCCTGCTGCTTCCATGTTTGGGAGGAACGAGAGCACATTTAAACAGTCCACCCACAGAGCCACTCTAACATGCAGCGCCAACAACCGCATTCAAGGGTTGACATAAAAGAATGGAGATGAAAGCAACTATTAATGTTATTTTTTCATTACTTAGTAATCTGAAATGTGGCCAAATCAGCTTAAAGAAGCTTCTTTCTTGGCCGCAGCTCAAGGCTGAGCGAGATGGAGAAAAGCCTGTTAGACTCTGCATCATGTGTCTGCTTCAAATGTCTGGGCTTGCTATCTTAAAATATTCTGTGTAATGCACAATTTCGAAATGAAACAACAGCTGCGCTTTCCTGGATGAGAAACGTTTTCATATGCATAAAGTGTTTTAGGAGTAGACTGTAGACAAGGAAGGTCACATGATCCTTCAGAAATCATTCTAATATGCTGATTAGGTGGTCAAGAAACATTTCTAATTAATAACAGTTGAAAACGTTTGTGCTGCTAAACATTTTTGTGGAAACTGCGATACATTTGTTTTCAGGATTTTGTGATGAATAGAAAGTTAAACAGCATTTATTTGAAACAGAAATCTTTTGTAACATTATAAATGTGAAAAACTGATCAATTTAATGCATTCTTGCTGAATAATAAACGTATTAATTTCTTTAAAAATCTTATAACCCCAAACTTTTGCACTGTAGTGTAAATATATTAAATATATGTAACAAAGAAAAGTCCAATCACAGTTCAGTATGCAAATGAAAGTTAAAATAAAACCCAATCACAATTTAGAATGTTACAATGACATCATCACTGCTGTTACATTAATGCAAGGCTGAACAGTAATGCAAGGCAAATAGAATTTTCTTTTACATTTTCAAAAAGTATTAAGACCAAGATACAAAAACAAAGTGTGGATCATAATTTGGAAATTCTGAGATTAATCATGCTTGTTTTATACTTTTTAGAGCCATAGCTTTAACTGTAAAATATAAAAACAAATGACAACATGAATGCCAATTATTTAATATTTAAACATGTTCTCCTTAAATAGCATACTTACAATTTTTTTCCACACAGCATAAATAGGCCTTTAAATATAATAGTCTATACAGTAAAGCTGACATGGTATTTTAGGAAGGAGATCATCATATTAGTATATTAAAAAGTCTGAAAACCTCTGCGATTTGGACTGAATAATTTAGAAATTTGGGAAGAAGAAGAAGAACTAAGAGGATTTTCAATACAGTGGTTTAGTTACCATCTATTATCATCTAATTAGAGAATCATCCAGTTTTGCTGTTGACACTTCGCCATTTTGTGGATAGTTTCGCTTTATCCTGCTGCTTCCATGTTTGGGAGGAACGAGAGCACATTTAAACAGTCCACCCACAGAGCCACTCTAACATGCAGCGCCAACAACCGCATTCAAGGGTTGACATAAAAGAATCGAGATGAAAGCAACTATTAATGTTTTTTTCATTACTTGGTAATCCGAAATGTGGCCAAATCAGCTTAAAGAAGCTTCTTTCTTGGCCGCAGCTCAAGGCTGAGCGAGATGGAGAAAAGCCTGTTAGACTCTGCATCATGTGTCTGCTTCAAATGTCTGGGCTTGCTATCTTAAAATATTCTGTGTAATGCACAATTTCGAAATGAAACAACAGCTGCGCTTTCCTGGATGAGAAACGTTTTCATATGCATAAAGTGTTTTAGGAGTAGACTGTAGACAAGGAAGGACAAAAAGAAGGGTAATTTACCATATGGAAGTCATGCACAGTGGAGATTCTCAGTGTGGGGTGATAATGCAGGGGTGACAAATCCAGACAGTAAAGGAAACAGACATGTACAGTACTATGAAGGGGAAAAGGAGACAGTGAAGGTGATAATCATTACAGGATGACAGGCAGGAGGCATCACGAATAGATGAAAAACAGGTAGCATATACACTACCATTCAAATGTCTGGGGCCAGTTAGATTTTTTTAAAGAAATAAACACTTTTATTCTGCAAGGATGCATTTAATTGATCAAAAGTGACAGTAAAGACATTTATAATGTTACTAAAGATTGATATATTTTAAATAAATTCTGTTCTTTTGAACCTAATATTCAAAAAAGAATCTTGAAAAAAACATGGTTTCCATTTAAAAAATCAGCACAACTGTTTTGAACTTTGATAATAATAAGAAATAATTTTTTTAGCATCAGATCAGCATATTAGTATGATTTCTGAAGGAAATGAAACATTAATGTGACACTGAAGACTGGAGTAATGGCTGCTGAAAATTCAGCTTTGCCATCACAGGAATAAATAACATTTGAAAATATATTAAAATAGAAAATAGTTATTTTAAATTATAATAATATTTCACAATATTACTGTTTTTATATTTTTAATCAAATAAATGCAGCATTTCGTAAAACATTAAAAACATGCATGTTTTTAAATAAATATTTAAATTAAAACAATAAAAATCCTCCATAAAAATATGAATCTAAAATTATAAAAAAAATCAAAACAAAAAATATTAAATATTAAACTATAGTAATAATGATCAAACCATAATAATATTTACTGTGAGATGTGATGTGTGAAGAAAACTATCTTGTGATAAATATCACAAACATTTCCAATCACATCGAATTTTGTTAAATTATGCAAAGTGTGAACAATATTATTTAAGCATGTAGAACGCATACAATACTAGCTGAAATTAGCCTTAACAAATGAATACAAAATAATTTAGCCATTTTATTCCAAAAATGTTCAAAGATATTTATGAAAACATTTCAGTTATGTGTGGAAAATACTGGAAATACTTTCAGAAAACAACATAATTCTCCTGTGACGCATGTATATTCATTGTTGGGCATACATAAATACTTAAATACTATTGAAAACAATTTGAAAAGTATTTTCAAAAAGTCCACAGGGCCAAAAGTGTCCATTATTGATGAAACACACATCTGCATCAGAGGCACTAGGGAGACAGAAGCACATCTCCTCATGCTCATGCCATTGTGTGTGAGTTTGCATTTGTGCATGTCTGTGTTTGTATGTAAGGTGCAGGTACCCCAAGCTCGATTTGCTGTGCTTCCTCCATGTCCTGCATGGCGCAGCAGTGGGCTTCCTGCAGGTGGCACTCTCTGTGCTGATGCTCCAGCACCAGCTCCTGCAACTGCTGCGCCAGGTGCTCGCGCTCTTGGCTGAACTGAGCCTGCAATTGCTGTAGCGCGCTTTTCGACTGAGACATCTGTAGCTCCAGGCTCTGCTTCAGCAGAGAGATCTGACACAACAGAAACACAGAAAACAAGTTCATAAGACTCCTACAGAATACCGAGCCCTCAGAGAGATGGACATTGTGAACTGTGGATGACTTAGATTTGGGTGAAGGTAAAGCAGACAACAGTCGGGAAGAAAGTAGCGGATATTTTGAAGCCAAAAGAGAAAATTGGAGCATTGGGAATTGGATTTAAAGTCACTGCAACAACAAGAACAAGACTGACTTAACTGACTGAAATAATTTATTATTGCATCAATAACCATGGGACATGTGTCATTATGCTGAGAATGAAAAAATGACAATGCCTCAAGCAATCTGAAATGTAATCCTTTCAGAAATAGCTCAGTATTACAGATGAAATATGACATCAACTGCATGCAACATGCTATTACAGTAATTTCGACTGCTGTCTTTCCGTTCAGCTTTATCATCAGTTTTATGCAAGTAAAATACATTCATTCAGATCCGCTCAGCAGTATTTCCTGAACTACCCCAGGATACCCTAAATGAGAAAAGTAATATAATCTAAACTGCTAATCTACCAAAAGAATAATGATCTTAATCTTTATATGTTTCAAAACATAAAAATGAGATGAGGCCTTGATAAAGAAATAATAAAGAAAGCAACTAAACAGGAGATGGCGAGCAAATCTCTGCATGCAGCAAATGGAGGGCCGAAAATAGATACTGAGGCAATAAAATGAGGACAAAACAAGAGGAGAGTGCTTCATGCAGACTTCAGTGCCTGGATTACACTGCATTTGAATTCACACACAGATTTGTCTCAACAAACTGTTGAGGAACTTAAAATACAGCACTATTTGAGGTTGAGGGTCCACACTGGAGTTGATTTTAAAACCAATCTGCAACTTACAGACCAAAGTGAATCCGAGCCTCACAGAGCCTTCTTTGCTTTAGGATGTACCTACATGGAAAATGTGGCTGATAATTATTGTTTTTTATAATTATATAAATATAGAATTTATATAATTATTGTTTTCAAAATTACTGATATAACGGTCTATATTATAAATCTTTACTGTTTTTTTATATATAAAACATCAAAACATCTGCCAATTAATTAAAAATGTAATTTAATAAATCAATTAATCAGATGAATCATAGTTAAATCACATAGTAAAATTTTGAGAAAATGCCCCAAATAAGTATAAGACATAATTATAAGACAATAATTTATTATGGCAGACAAAAGCATCAAATATATATTACAAATAGTTGCTTTCGCCATCAAGTCAACATATTATTTATTTTATTTCATATTATTGAACATAAGCCTATCACTGGCATATAGTCCACAGCAATCCATTTTGCATCGATTTGTCAATCTGTCTGAATTAGACGTAGGGGCATTCACAAATGATTAAATTGTGTTATTTTTGTATATAATTATTTGTGTTTTTTTAAATATAATTAATCTCACTAAAAGAAGGTGTTAATTTGACGGTGTTAATTTGAATGTGTATTACAAAACTGAATGTGTATTTGAACTGAAAAAAGCCATTATACTAACATAGTCTGCTTCTAATGTCAGCCTGATGCCAGCAACAAAATGCAAATATTGGCCAATATTGATATACAGTCATTGATATACAGTATAGATAGATTTACATGAGATCAGGGGCACTGACACAAGGAAGCACTGAAGATAGACAACGAACATCAAGAGATGCTGACAGATGTCTGACACAGCAACTTTTAGAGGCTCATGACATAAGTGACAGTGATGTGACTCTAGAGAGACAGACTACAGGAGGCAGGTTGTCACATTACAGAAAGTGCCAAACATGCAGAGCATCATGGTAAATGAGGACGCACACACTAGAGACTGTGTGTATTCTGCTTAAATATCTTGACTAATTATCTAGAATTTTTAGTCACACCAAGTTTTCCTGATATTGCACAAGACCAAAAAAGACTAGACAGCATCTGAATTTCAAATAGAACATCATGTCAATCTAATCTAATTGGCGGATGAAAGACGTTGACAGATACTCGGCTGACAGTTACTCAAATAAGAATCACAGCTATGGGACTTACTATGGTCTCAGAAGTCATACTATTTCAAATTAATAAATTCAAGGAGACATTTGATGGAAAACCAACAATTTTACAAAATTTTACAAACTACATTGTTTTTACAGATGTTTGTTTTGTATGGTTACATTTTTGTTTGTTCATACAAATGTTTGTTTTGTAACGGCTTTGTTTGTTTTTAGAAAAACCAATAAAAAAAACAAGTGTACTTGGAAATTTTTTTACAATATTGTAGAATACAAGACATTTTTGGTTTTACAAACATTTGCTTGATTTGCTAAATTTTTGTTTGATTTTTACTAACATTTGCTACTTCTTTAACAGATGTTTGTTTCTTTTGATTGGTTACATGTTTTGTTTGTTCTTACAAATATTTAATTGTTACACTCCTGTTTGTTTTTCAAACAACTGTTTGATTGTTTATGCTACAAGAAACAAGAGTACTTCTGGGAAAAAAAAATTTTTTGTCAATCAATTTTTGTTTTTACATTTCTGTTTTTACAAACATTTGTTTGATGTTCTACATTTTTTATTTTTTCAAACATTTGCTATCTTTTATAGATGTTTGTTTGGTTTGGTTACATCTGTTTTTTATTTGTTCTTACAAATGTTTGTTTTATACACTTTTGTTTGTTTCTAGAACACAATTGTTTATATGACTGCTACAAGAACCCTGAAAACAAGAGTACTTCTGGGGAAAATAATGTTAACAAGTGTAAAATAAAGCCATTTTTGTTTTTAAAAACATTTGTTTTGTTTTATTACATTTTTGTTTGATATTTACAAAGGTTTGCTATTTTTTAATGTTTTTGTTTGGTTGCATTTTTTGTTTGTTCTTACAAATGTTTGTTTTGTTACAGTTTTGCTACAAAAACCCTGAAAACTTCTGGCAATTTTGTTTTACAAAAGTGTGGAATACACCTCTAAAATGTTAAATGTGGACAACAGGTATAAACGATAAAATGTCACCTCTGTGACCTTCCGTTACCTGTTGCAGGAGGTCCTCAACTTTCCTCTGCCAGCTCTCCCTGGCTGCCATCATCTCCAGGTCTCTCTGCTGGGAAAGTTGTGTCAGGGCCACCTGTTTCTCCGCCTGATGTTCAGCTGTGAGTTCTTCCCGAAGACCCTTCAGCTCAGCCCTGAGAGGAAACAAAGAAACAGAGGGTGAAACTGACAGGATGAAACAGATACAAGGACACATTACTTAAACAGCGTGGAAGTGACTCTGAAAGTGAGATATTAAAATGTTAATAAGAACCACACAGATGTCTTTGTAACCTTCAGCTCACTGTATACTGTTTGCTGCTGTACCATTGTGCAGATTAGATGTTAACCTCTTACTCTTGTAATTAGCATATTTTAATCCAAATGCATGCCTGTGTAAGAGGATTTGTCACAGGCTTTGATGCAGGACAGACTGCTCCTATTTTAGATGTGATTTTCCATGTGCACTCTCTAAAAACCAAACACTGTGTACAGTCACAGTTTATACAATTTAATGCACTGTGCACCGACAAATCTCGCTCTGTTTTTAGCCTTGTCTTCTCTACAGTAATGCATGACTCATAAGTTTCGTGCAGCACCTCAGAGCATCGGTCCACTTGAGATCCAGCTCCTTTGTGATTTTGTCCATTTTCTGTTTCTCCTCTGTTTTGATAGCGATGACCTTGGCTTCATGTTGCTGTTTCTGGGTCTCTATCTCCTCCTGTGAGCAGATAATGATTCATCATGGGAAAAGCAAGGAGAGAGCAATTTCCAGTAGAGCTGATTACACAAATGTCGTCTTTAGACATGCAACCTCTTCCTGCACTTCGCAGGCTTTAGCACAGAAAAAAAGCGGCTGTTTTCGGGTGTCTTAAAAATTGAATGAGGCTTAATTTTTCTTTTAACATCTCTGCCACACTCCATTATCCGTCTCCTATTGCAGTGATTGCCACGCTGAATTCCTGCTTCTCCCCCTAAACGATGAGATGCGTCAGTGGTTTTCACTCTTCTAAAAGTGTGAAAGAACTTGAACATTTTATATCAACATCTCTTAATGCTCCTTCTATTTTTATCAGAATGAGAGACTGACTCAAAATGCACGTAATTTATAATAAATGGAGTAAAAACAGTTGAGCACTTCACTTGTATATCCGTGAGCAGGTTGCTCGTCTCTCTCACTCTCGCCCTGGTGGCGTCCAGCTCGATGAGAAGCTTTTCTTGGCTGTCTTTAAGACAGGAGATGTGGTTCTCAGCAGTATCGAGATTTTTTTCACTCTCCTTCACAAGATCCTTCAAATGAGACACCTGAGCAAAGCCACAAAGACGCATGTATAAAATTACCAAATGGAGGTCATTCTTGCTATGCAGTAGATTCCCTTACATTATATGTCTTGATAAAATGAATAAAATAATAAATTCATTTTTAAAGATGGAAATTACATTAGTTCACAATACTACAATTATGTTACATGGGGTAAAAATAGCAAAACTTTGTTTCTTCATAATGTCCATACATTTAAATATTTCAAAATTACAGTATTCTTCAGGACGTGACATCATTTTTAGTGTAAAAATGAGCATTAATTAATTTTTGTGTTTTGGCTTTTTTCACTCCAGCATTCCATCATGTCTGCTTAAATGAAAAAAATCTATATAATATACAATATAATATATGACCCTGGACCACAAAACCAGTCTTAAGTCGCTTGGGTATATTTTTAGCAATAGGCAATAG